GTTCCACAACCTTCCACATAAGCCATCACTCTTTTTAATTCATCATTACCAACCAATCATTTTGTTGCATGCATGCAATGCATATTTTATAATCCCTCTAAACGAGACATGTTGTTTATACGGGCTGATCTCCGAAACTGTTGGACCGATTTAAATGAAACTTTGTATGGGGGTACCTTATATCTCCGGTCAACATTTAAAAGATTTATAATTACGGATAATTAAAGAGTTCCCCGTGGAATGGTAAAAAACTAAGTAACTTACACAGCTTTATACACAACTTACATAAGTAAAGTCATTTTGGCCTAAGGCAAAGAGTGAGAACGACACGTCATTTGTTAATTTTGGTCCAGTATTCCCAGACATAATAAATAGATAGGTATAGATAGGCATGTATCTATCGATGTATGTAATCGATAGATACTAAACAGGAATAACAAACACTACGCGGACAAAGTCGCGGGCGTCAGCTAGTATTTAATATATTTATAGATCTGATATTTTCATATCTGCATTAAGTTCAGTCTCCAACCAGAGATAATTAAAAAAAAAATGGTTTTAAAACGAAATCAAGGGGACTTAACCGTATACAAATTTACCTCTTTTTTTATCCAGTCGTTGTTGTCTTCCCGCCAACGCAGCCTATGTAAACAAAGCCTGAAAAATAAAGTATTTTTTGGGTCATTAACTCGAGTTATTTAATTTCGGTCGAGAGCCCCTCGACAGAGGCACCAACGTTGGTTAAATTCCCGATATTCTCAAGTAAGGTCCAATTAGGAGTTTAAGAAAATTATGAATTATTTTTTGAAACTTCTAGTAAGAGAGGTGCTCGCTTCGCTTGCTTTCATTTGTTGTGTATGTTTTTTATGCAACTTAGAATGGCAAATAAGCTGACGCCCCACTTGATGGAAAGTGGTAACCGTCGACATGAATAGTATCATGGGTTGCACAGTGTATACTGTGACGGCCATTATAACCTTCATGCGTTGGAGAAAAGGAATTGTTAGTAATAGATTCAAACAGCCCTATTGCTAGCAATATACTCTATCAGGTCGACCTCCACGCGGTTCCCCCTGGAAAACATCGTGGTTATTTTTTGTGGAATTCGTCACGATTGGGTTACTGACCTGACTTTATTCTTATCTATTGTCACTGACTGGTGTCCCGCCAGCGTATATCGATAGCGCAAACGGTAGTACCATACCATCACCATGCATTAAAAAAACACCCTACTTTTCAAGAATGGCGAGGTCTAAAGAGTAGTACAGTTGTCACAGTGTATTCTGTATTTATTAATAATAATTTTTATTTCAAACTTACGCCTCCGTAACTTGTAACTTCATTGAAAGCAACACAGTTTGACGGTAGAATCACGAATGGGACAAAGGTACCCACGCGCCTGCGTGGATACTCTTATACAAAGTCTGGAATATTAGTTATACCAATTACTTTGACTTGATCTCAAGTGAATTAATACGGGTTTTATCCCTTGAGACAATTTGTAGGAGGTAACTTGAAAGTCTAATCTGCCGAGCGACTTTAAAGTTATGTTAGGACAAATTCAGATTTAATTAAAAAAAAGTTTTATAGTCTATTTCAATAGAATTTAATGAAAAAAAAATTTTTTTGTTGAAATTATTATAGAAACATTTACTTTTTTTATACTATTGATACAAGCATACGGCCCACCTGATCGTAAGTAGTTACAGTAGCCTATGTACGCTTGCAATACCAGGGGCATTACACGTGCGTTGACGACCCTGAAAAAACTTTTTTTTTTAAAACTCCATACTGTAGTCACTTGGAAAAACCTCGGCAGGGAGCTCATTCCATAACCTGAGTGTTCGTGGGAGAAAACATCTTTGAAAATACACTGTACACGATTAACCAGGCTTTAAGGTATTTGGCACCAGAGGCTTGTCTTATGGCCGGCTCAGTTATTCGTTTATTTGCGTTTTTATTGAAATCGATTATACAATAAGAATGTGTAATATATAGCAGTATCTATATATTGTATTTACAATATCTATACATATATTGGTTCAATAACAAATATATTAAGTATCGGTTTTCCAATATATAATATCGAAAAGAAGAGCCCGCTTGTAATGAATATAGATATCTGATTGGTATTGGCGATATCGCAATAGGTGGTCATTAATATCCATAAGAACTCAATATATAGATATCAGATATTACCCATCTGTACTATACAAATTCTACGCCGAAGTATTTATGATATTATATTATTTACAGCGCTTGTTTTATGAATAAATCGAGTTCTTTTTAAATGCTAATTTCAACTGTCAAACACAGACATCTTATCCGAAAGGAATTAAGATGTTTTCTATAAAGTACCTACCCATCTAATATTTTATGGTTTTTTTTTGCTCCGCGTCGAAAAATGGCGGCTTTGAATGTCAAAATTAAAATGGAACAAACATTTCAAAACAATTGTTTAAACCGGTTTAGAACTGGCTTCATAATCGATTATTATTAAATAGTTACTGATATTCAACCATATGGTCCCGGCATAGAATAGGCCACCCCTTCCTATCCCGTGGGTGTCGTAAGAGCCGACTAAGGGAGGGTTAAGAACAGGCAGCAGCGTCCCTCTTAAAACATCTCTAAAGCTTGACTGCGGTTACCAATCCGCCTGCCGAGCGTGGCAAATACTGGCGTGTGTGTGTGTGTGTGTGTGTGTGTGTGTGTGTGTGTGTGTGTGTGTGTGTGTGTGTGTGTGTGTGTGTGTGTGTGTGTGTGTGTGTGTGTGTGTGTGTGTGTGTGTGTGTGTGTGTGTGTGTGTGTGTGTGTGTGTGTGTGTGTGTGTGTGTGTGTGTGTGTGTGTGTGTGTGTGTGTGTGTGTGTGTGTGTGTGTGTGTGTGTGTGTGTGTGTGTGTGTGTGTGTGTGTGTGTGTGTGTGTGTGTGTGTGTGTGTGTGTGTGTGTGTGTGTGTGTGTGTGTGTGTGTGTGTGTGTGTGTGTGTGTGTGTGTGTGTGTGTGTGTGTGTGTGTGTGTGTGTGTGTGTGTGTGTGTGTGTGTGTGTGTGTGTGTGTGTGTGTGTGTGTGTGTGTGTGTGTGTGTGTGTGTGTGTGTGTGTGTGTGTGTGTGTGTGTGTGTGTGTGTGTGTGTGTGTGTGTGTGTGTGTGTGTGTGTGTGTGTGTGTGTGTGTGTGTGTGTGTAAAACCCCTCCAAGGGGCAGGCTTATGTTCAGCAGTGGACAGTTAAAGGATTTTTTTTATACAACTTAGAATGGCAAACAAGCTGACGGCCCACCTGATGGAAAGTGGTAACCGAAGCCTATAGACATGAGCAGTACCATGGACATAACAGAGTATATTGTTTTGCCCAAGATACCCCCCATGCGTTGCTATTCCTGAGGACTCAGGTGTTATTCCTCTGTACGCAGTAAATTTACGCCATATCTCACCCTTCAAACCGAAACACAGCCATGCAAACACAACTGCTTCACGGTTGAAACACGAATGGGATAGAGGTACCCAAGCAATCGACTTTTGTACAAAGTCTCCCTCTGGTTAAGCTTATGTTACTCAGGGATAATGTGGCATTCTAATGGTGTAAGTAGTTTTGTAATCGATCCAGTAGTTTTTGAGTTTATTCGTTACAAATATACAAAAATACAAATCTTTCCCTTTTATATTATTAGTAGTAGTTATATTAGTAGAAGTGCCAAAGAATTACACCAATCGTATGGTCTTTAAGCTAGTATTTCTCATAACTCAGGGTTACGAGAAATCAGCCCACAAATATCTGTGAATACCCCCAAAACACTTAGAGCTGAGTTAATCTGGACACGTTCATTTCCTAAATGGACGGGACCGAGAATCAAACTCGCGACTTCAATTATACAAGATGCTTACCATACGAAGAACTTATACACAACAACAACAGAAAAAAAAAACTCAAAAGAAGAATCTCGTTTTAGGAGGTTAAAAATAAAAATGGCGGCAAAACGCGTCACGTACAAATTCCCGCGTCCCGATCTTGTTGTAGGGATTTTATGAAAGTTGTGACGGCCCGCGTAAATCAATACATTGCCAACTATACGCTGAAGGCGGAGGAAGCTCTTTAAATACTTCCTTCCAAGCGATCCGAAACATGATCAGCCTCTAACCTCCCCACCCCCACACCCCCCCACCCCCGCGGCAAGGGTTGCTTAGGTTTTTATTTGCTTTACGTCTCACCACGGACGGTATTGAGTGGAAACAGAATTGAACGTAAACCTTTCTGAGTTTACGCACTTGAAATTTACGTTTGTAAAGAAAATTTTGAGGTTTTTTTTTCAATATTGGTGAAAAAGTCTACAAGGTTCGCTTAGACTTAACATTCCTTTGTCTATTTTGTTCCGAGAAAATCGGCTAAATATAAAGGGTTCCGAACAAATTATAATTAATGAAATATTTTTTAAAAAAAGTTTTTTTTTTATGTAACTATTACGTTTACCGGATTTTTTTTTACCTGTGCTTTGCGACATTGTTTTTTGCCTAATTTCATGATTCTTTGCTAACGGGAAGTATCCTTTAGGTTTTGATTCCCTTGTAAATGTCAAAATATACGTTAATAAGCAGTATATCTTGATTGCGTTGACTCGGGAGCTCGATTTCGTCACAGTTACAAGGGATTGCGGAGTTGATATTTGAACTTTAATTTCAGCTTGACATCCCTACGCGTTTTTATAAAAAAAGGGTCTTGAAAGACGGATGACAATAAGGGTTCCGTTTATGTTTAAACGTAACGTCCTTTAAAATAGTGAGGAGTCGAAAATCGATTAAAAAAAATCAGCTGACCCCTTCAATACTAACATAGGGCATAGGGTTGTCAACTGGTCATGGGAAACTCAAAAATTTTTGTCGCTTTTTCATTGACTTTCTAGAATATTCGATTGCAGTTTCCATGTCTGGTCGGGTATTTATTATTTCTTTTTACTATCTTTCATTTGTTATTTGCATGTTTTAAAACTTATTTCCCTTTTGTTACAGATGCAGCGGCCATCGAGATGAGCGCACCCCGCGCCCCGCCCCCACCCCGCGCCTCTATCTGTCTCGCTCGCACACACCCTCTCACTCTCACCCCCTATCTCTCTCCCCCAGGCCAGGATGCTTGAACGTGCGCCGGGTCTGCGTATGCGCACCGTTTGGACGCATTTGTACTTCTTATTTCTTATTGGTAAGTGTTTCAAAACTATTTAGAGAATATATTAATACATAAGCTATCCTATCGAACGTTGTTTTGCCTTCTATAAGATTTACAAACAAACTTACATTTATTTCTATATCTGTTCCATACATTTTACTTCAGTTACTTCGGTCAAGGATACATATTGAAAACAGCTTTTAGATAAAAAAAAAAATTAATAGCCAACGCTTAATTAATACGATATAGTCCGACACTAGTCTATTGATTTTACGAGTCGGCACTGCTTTTATATTCATGATACAAGTAAATGAAACTATGCAACCACCTGTGTAGTATGTCTTAACACACTACACAAAAAGAATATTCTAGTGTTTGTAATACAACTATTTATTACAAGTATTGTCGAGTTCCGAGGTTATCTCGAAGATAGGGTCAAGCTAGTATCCAAAATGGTCGGGATACTAAGTAAAGCTCAACGGTACATTATCCCAAGACAAGGACTATTGTTGTACAAATCGCAAGTTCGGCTCCTTATGGAGTATTGCTCTCATGTGTGGTGGCCCACACACCTAAATGCCAGCTTGGTCTTAGTCTTGACTAATTTCAAAGACGGGGTATGAGAATTGTCGACGATCCCAAACATATAGGCGGTATTGAGCCGTAAAATCTTAGGCGAGATTTTGTCAAATTGAAACTGGTTAGATAGATTTTATAGACTCATTTTTTATATTCAAAGTGACGACTGCTTAAATAAATTAAATAGTATTATGATGGACAAAAATGTCGACATAAATTATGTGGCAAAATACCCTAATATCGGGGTGAACGCCACAAAAAAAAAAAGAATAAATTATGTCACTATTCTAGAGATGGGTAATGTCCGATATCTATATATTGAGTTCTTTTGTACATTGATGACCACCTATTGCGATATCATTCATAATAGTCGGATATTATATTCATTACGAGTGGGTTCTTCTTTTCGATATTATATATTGGATAACCGATAGGTAATATATATATTATTGGGCCAATATTTTTTTTGTCTTTATATATACTACGATCTGTGTTCTTGCTGGGACATGAAATAGTATTTTTGACGTATACTTTAATGGCGTGCTCAGTATGCGACTTGAGTCGCATTCTACTTTATTTTATAGAATCATGTCTTGGGGTATTTTGCGTTTCAGTCTACGAGTTGTGTGATTTACGTCCATAAGATCTCTTGCCAGTCTGTTAGGGTGTTTTGTTATCCTCTCCTTGTAGGATTGTGTGTGTGTGTTGTAGTATTTCCTGTCTAACAGTTCCAATTTTTAGGTCATGATGCAGTTGCTTGTTTGTGACAAACCAAGGAGCATTGGTTATTATTCTTAGCATTTTATTTTGGAATCTTTGTAAAATCTCGACATTGGAGTGAGACGCTGTTTCCCAGAGCTGGATTCCATATTGGATAACCGATAGGTAATATATGTATATATTATTGGATCAATATATGTATAGATATTGTAGTTACAATATATAGATATTGTAATATATTACGTGTATTATTACGGACAAAATGTCCATCGAGGATTATCCCCCGTCTACGTAGGTTTTAGCTCGCTACCAAGTTTTCGTACGTTTATGTCAATATTGCGTGTCGAAAATATTTCGCCTCAACTCAAAACTGAAAAGTCACTTGACGCTTATTAGAAGTTGTTCCAGTACAAAAGTTCGTAACCAAGTTAGACCGGGGTGTGGGGCTGATCATTAAGGTTAGGTACCTCGTGCCGACTTATAAGTAATCTGTACTTCGGTTTGTTGATTAATTTTGGGGAATTCTCAAGTTTCTAGACGCTTCATCTGGAAAGTTTAGGGATATAGCGGTGGAATTATAGGGTACGGAGGCATGACAGTTGCCTTACGAAATGTTAGATACATTGCAGAGAGTCAGTGAATGCAGGTGGCTCAATCGTTCCTAATGGCAGTCTGTGGGCAGCTCTTGTTCAGCAATGAATTGATATATTGATGAAACGGCTATATATATATATATATATATATATATATATATATATATATATATATATATATATATATATATATAATATGTCAATAGTATATGCACTATATTTGTCGTCTCGAATAATTGTTAAAAATCGTTTTAATATTATAAATCTTGGAGTTCACCCTTATTTTTTGGGTGCATGGCGTACTATTACTGTCCTTGTTTCCCGTTCCTTAAGGGGGAGGCTTATGTTCAGCAGTGGACAGTTAAAGGGTGATATGATATCGATGATGATGACATCTAGGTTGTGGAATGAGCTCCCGTCTTTAGTTTTTTCCTTAAAATTTAATATGGGAAATTTCAAAAAACGTGCCTACAAACATTTAAAAGGCCAGCAACGCATACCTAAGCAACTCCTCTCGTGTTGCATTTCGTATCCAATTTCATGCAGTAGTTTTTGTGTGATGCCGGAACGAACAGACAGACAGACAAAATTTCTAAACATTATTATCTATTTATTTATTTACTCTTTTTTGCATCATTTATAAAAACAACAAGCATATTATAGTTTTGGCTTCTATTGATTTTCAAGCGACTTCAAAAATAATTCTTAATTCAGTCGTATTTTTTTATGTTTCTTATCTTATAACTCCATCAGTTTTAAATCGATTTGGAAAATTCTTCTTTTCTTTGAAACGATATACTTATAGATTGATCGCATAGAAATTTTATCAAAATCGGTTCAGTAATTTAGTTTCTAAATTAAAATTACTGGTTTTGTAACAATTGACATCTATCTTTGTCACACAATCTTTAATTATATCAAGTTATCAGTAAAATATAATAAAAAAATAAATAAATAAATGTATAGTAAAATAAAGAAAAAAATAATTTGCTTTTTTTATTATCATTCTTTTATCTCTTTTACTGTGTTTCATGTGTATGTTTATATTGTAATTTGTGTGCTGTAAATAATGTAAATAAATTATCTATCTATCTATCTATCTAAGTTCTGTCACATTAATTTTCTTAAATATCTCCCCTTGTAGACACATCGTCAAATGACAATTTTATTATATTAGTAAAAAGCAAGATGATGCGAAGAAAGCTGCCGGATATAGCTCGTATAGAATAATTAATCACAATCTTTAATTACATTAAGTCCTGTCACATTAATTGTTTTAAATATCTTAAACAGACCTCGTCAAATAATAATTTTATTATATTAGTAAATAGCAAGATAATGCAGACAAAGCTGCCGGTTATAGCTTGTATAGAATAATGGATCTTATGTGCTTAATAAGTTTCTTATGAAAGCCCCTAATACTAGTGTGTAGACGTAATTTTCTTAATGTAATTAATTACGATTATTCTATCCACGCCAATGTGTTTTTGGTTGTTATGCGCGGATCTCTAAATGTAGGTTGCAGTAATAAAACGTTGCCTTGTGGTCCCGGCATAGAATGGACCACCTATTCTATTCCTGTGGGTGTCGTAAGAGGCGACTAAGGGAGACTTTGTACAAAAGTCGATTGCTTGGGTACCTCTCTGTCTCATTCGTGTTTCTACCGTGAAGCAGTTGTGTTTGCATTGCTGTGTTTCGGTTTGAAAGGTGGGATATGGCTTGAATTTACTGAGTACAGAGGAATAATACCTGAGTCCTTAGGAATGGCAACGCATGGGGGGTATCATGGGCGAAACACTACACTCTGTTATATCCATGGTACTGCTCATGTCTATAGGCGACGGTTACCACTTTCCATCAGGTGGGCCCTCAGCTTGTTTGCCATTCTGAGTTGTATAAAAAAAAAACTTAATGGTCGAGAGATAGGCAGCAGCGTCCCTCTTCAACCATAACCAAAACCCTAACTGCGGCGGGGGGGAAGGGCTTGTCAGTAATGGAGTCAAATAGCTCCATTACTAGCAATATCAGGTCGACCTTCACGCGGTTCCCCCTGGAAACCATCGTGTTTAATCCTAGTTGAATTCGTCAGGATGGGCTAACTGACCTGTCAGGTGGGCTGCCAGCTTGTTTGTCATTCTAAGTTGCATAAAAAATTCCCCATTATTCCGCTGTCAATTGGCCACATCGTCATGTTACTTCGAAGTAAAAAACATTGTAAAACTCTCCAAGAGCGTCGTGTTTAATCATCCTGTTGCAAAGCAACGTTAGTACAGACATAACTTTGTTTTAGACCCGTGCTTGTACCAGATCAGTTAAGGAGTTTTAATAAATAATTTATGGTTACAGCGAAAACTTTTAAAGTTAGAAACCCACTTTTAGGAATATTGGAATTCTTAACTGGGACATTTCATTTTTAGATCAGTTCAGGAGTTAAATAAACGATTACAATTTTAATGTGAATGTTTTTTGTTTGTCAATCTGCCTGCCAAGCATGGCAACTACTGGCAAAACCTTTTAAAGGAGAGGCTTATGCTCAGCAGTTTTTTAATGGATGATAATTTATTTATTTATTTATTTATTACATCCACTGGGTGAGCCTTACAGTGTTCCAATACGCTCACCCAGGAAAGCATGAGTACAATAACATATAAAAAGGAAATAGTACACAAAAAAATAACAAAAATAATATAAAAAGATTTAACTCAAACAAAAAACGTGTGAACACAAATACTCTGTGGTCACTCGACGAAACTCCAGCAAGTCGGAGGCAAATACATCCAATTGCGGATACCGGTTCAAAATATCATTGAGTAGTTTCAATGCAAGAGATAATGGAATGGTAACCCCGTCTGCGCTTACGGTATACGCTGGCGGGGCACCAGTGAGGGGTGATAGATGAGAATGAAAAAAAGCAGGTCAGTTATGATAAATACACTTGGAATTCAGCACGATGGTTTCCAGGGGGACCGCGGGGAGGTCGACCTGGTTCTTTAGTCTCCATTACTAACAATCCCTTCCTCCCCTATGTTCAGCAGTGGACAGATAAAGGCTTAATATATATTGCTGTGAATGTTTATAATCATGTTGGACGGGGAAAATAATATACTTACAAAAAATATACACATACAATACATATATAAA